CTTGCTACGTGTACTGTGTTAGGCTAACCGAGACTTGTCATTTGCACTTATATATTGTTGCTCTTTTGTTAGTTTTGACTGCTTTTATTGTCTATAAGTCACTTTGGATAAAAGCGTCTGCTAAATGACTAAATGTAAATGTATATATTTCTCACTTACCCTGATTAAAAACCCTGGGTTTTTACAACCCAATTATTTATAATGCATAAAAGATCAAAGTCCAAATATGAATTTATATAAACTTTATATAAATAGTTTGGCTTAACTAATGGTCTATTTTAACTAATATAATAAATATTATTTTTTTGAATGAAACTTCTTATAGAGTTAATTAATTCCTTTCAGATGACAAGAAAATCTCTTACATTTTCTTCAGTCAGAGAGTGAATTTGCTCCTGAAGTTGGTTAATTGAGCTCTGTTTATTCGTGGAGTCCATGTTCTGCAGCTGTCAGAGGTGTGTTATGTCTGGTTTCTATAAACACGAGTCTCCATGGGCGTTCATAATGATCCTCACTCTCTGAGAAACAGCAAACTGTGAAAGAGAGCTCCATTTGAAGTGAATCACATTAAACGATTCTTTCTGATGATTCAGTTGAATTATTGACTTAATTATTCAAATCCCGTTGATTAGACATGGTTTTCGGCATATTAACCTTGTTAATGCACGAAAAATAATGAATTGTGGCATTACTTTTGCGTATTGACTCGCTGAATCGGTTAACTGAACAGATTCATTAAAAAGAGTCCAATTTGGTCAACTGAACCCCAGCAGATGTAAACATCTTTCAGTCCACTTTTATGGTTAAATACCAGTTCAAATTAATACATGTATTAAACTCGAAAACTAATGAAAGTGAAAATATATGCCAGTCTGGCAATGCAAAACATGTTCAAAATGAGTATGTTATGAAATGAAACATAGCTGCAACAAACTGAAATTATAATTAAACCCATAATCAATAAAACTTACCTCGAAAACAAAATTACTTAAAAGAATCCCCTTTTGAGACAAACTGTTCGAAAGAACCGATTCGCTGAGGAAACGGCCGTTCGTTTTTATTCTAACTGGCGGGAAAAATGGCTTATCGGCGAAGATCAGGGACAAATAAAACGCATTATGAATAATTAAAACGCATTAGATCTTCCACAAAATACACAAAACACTTGAACATTTAACTTTGAGAGAGGTAATGTAATTCACTCAATATGATTAAGTAAATGTAGAAAAATGTATTAAAATGTATACAAGATATATGATACCAAGATAGCAGAACAAGTCTGGTCATTAAATAATTTGTAAATTGTACAAAATGACTTAAAAATAATGGTCCCACGGCATTCTTGTTCAAAAGGCCACACACACATCACGTATGTAAGTGCATTCTGGGCATTCGCACACAAGCTACTCTACTAAGGCAACCTGCAAAGTGGCTTTAACAAAATCACACCAATCGAAGACGTGCCATTTACTAGACTGGCAGTCGCATAGAAATATGGCACTTTTTTTTTTTAAACGGTGTGAGTAAACCAAGTCTCAGGCAGGCAGGTTTCTGTAGGCTTGTCGTGTACTGTACGCATTGAAAAATCTATGCAATTTTCTCCAGTTATCTTGAGGACCTCCTAAGCAAGTCGTTCTCTCAATGATTGATGTTCTCATCTTCCTCCACCTCTTCATCATCCTCTGCAGTATGGGTGTTCGTCTCTCTGTAGACCAGACGGACCCCAGCAGCGTTCTGTAGAGCCTCCAGACTGGCTTGACTCACGTACAAGCTCAAGTTTATGTTGGGACGCGTTGATCTCAATTCCTCTATTTTAGTCCAAGCCTAATACACATACAAAAACAATATTTCATCAAAATATAACTGGAAACAGATGTTAAAGGAATAGTTCATCCTAAAATGACAATACATTATTGACCCTCAAGTCATTCCAAACAAGACAGTTCCTAGTGACCAAATTTGTTATCCTGTACAACTTTTCTAACCTTATTCGAATACTTTTGGGTCCATACAATAAATATGCCTTAGGACCAGACAGAAATGTAGGTTTTCAGACCTGCATAAAGTGTCTACAAACCCCTTTTGTGTTCCATAGAAAAAAAAAACAGCATTGAGAGGGATTTAAATGACATGAGGGCAAGTAAATAATGGTGAAAACCATTCCTCCAGAGTATAGCATGGCTATGGTTTCTCTTAAATACTAAGGCGGCTTTCACACTGGCAGTTTTGTTGGAACAGTTCACATGAGAAACTGGTCATGTAAAATCTGTCATTCTATCGGGAGTGCACAGTGGTACCAAACCCAAAATTGCCTGTAGGAGCTCATCTAAAGTTTGGTTGCAATTGCTGGAAAGTCTCTAGTTAAGTCATTTGTTTGTATATGTCAATAGCCAAAATGCTCTTGATTGCTGTTCGCTCACTTAACGTGTTTTATTTGGATTAAAACTAAACCGTATATATAAGTAAAAACATTAACTGTTACATGATTTATGTATAATGAGTGGTTCCCGATATTACAAGAAAACATCTGATTATTGTACCACTGCACTGGAGTGATAAAACGAGCAGTAAAAAAAAGAAGCTTGTACAATACATTTTAACAGCCCTAGAGATGCACCGATTGCAATTTTCTTGGCCGATTCCGTTTTTTTCAATGCAAAAAATAAATAAATAAATGCATAATAAAAATGTATTAAACATTACAATTCCCCCAATCTGGACTAAGTTACAGAGATTCTCTATAAGTGCATTTACACTGCAAAATTTCAAATGCATAAATTATTTTATAAGATTAATGTTTTAAATATTTATTAAACAAGATGCAATACTTTTAAATATGAACCCAAACCACCAGTAGGTGGCGGCAAATGACTGTGAGCCATTTAGTCATTCATTCAACCGATTCGTTCAAAAGGCAGATTCATTCAGAAACGAGGGTCTTTTATGAATGGTTTTCTGAATCGTTGACTCACTTGATTTGTTCAAAATCGTGGATTCATTCAGTAACGAAACACCGCTGTGTTGCTCAGAGACACGCAGCAAATTATTTTCGTCAGCGAAATGGAGCGAAAACAGTCAATATTGTGTCTAAAATATAAGTCACTTATTTTGAATCTTGTTTATTAAACTACTATTGTATAAAATCAGTGTCACATTGCAATCGCGTTGATATTCGGTTAAACATCTTGGTCGTGCAATGCTGCGTACCTAAATCATATAATATTTATTTTCTACCGCACTATACATCTATAACTTTCTATGAGTGCTGTTGCGCTCATTTGTTTTGATTTCTGCACGAGTCTCTCTCACACACTCAGGCTGCGCAAGCCTCATCTGGCATGACATAAATACATTATCAGTCGCTGTAAGTGTGACGTCAAAACAGCCCGGCTCAGAATTGGCAGACTGACCGGCCGGTCATTGGTCCGGGCCAATCATGCGGAAAACCGGCTAATACCGGTCCCTGGCCGGTCGATCGGTGCATCTCTAATAATTAAGCGTGAAAATGACTAAAGGAAACATTTAAACCAACTAAGATGATTCATATTCTTGATGAAAATATTGGTATTTTATCTGTTCTAGAATAAGCCATATCGGTGTAATGACGACATCATTAGTTCAAGAAAAACACATATAGGGGAAGAAAGTGGTAAACATTGATCTTAGAGTGAAAGTGAGCATGCAGCATAATCGCATAAAGCGAGTGCAATCAGAATCTGTTTTCTCCTCAAAAGAGTCCGTTTGCAAGCCTTCATGCAATGCACATAGTTCACTATGCTGCACATAATTTCTCCACGTTGTGTTGTCTATCATGCTCGTTTTGCATGTTTGTAATGATGGAAGATGAACGCAAATGCATTGGGTTTAATAGAATCAAGTGAGTCTGAAACCAATGTTGTGGGAACTCCAGGAATAACTGCACTTTGATTCAGACCGGAGCAAATGTGTCCAGTGTGAAAGTCCCCTAAAACACAACATACTACAAACCTCAACATACCTGCTGAAAGTTGCCATGATGGCAGTAGTGCTCCACCAGGAACCCATACACATCTCCAACACGCACTGCAGGGTCCAGATCCTTCTCTTCCAGCAGAGACTCGCACAAACGCACCGCTTCCACTGGATCCTCCTCATGCATCCTACACACACACACACAAATACATGTACAAATGTGACCCTGGAGCACAAAACCAGTCGTAAGTAGCACGGGTATATTTGCAGCAATAGCCAACAATACATAGTATGGGTAAAAATTATGGATTTTTCTTTTATGCCAAAAATCATTAGGATATTAAGTAAAGATGTTCCATGAAGATATTTTGTAAATTTCCTACCGTAAATATATCGAAACTTAATTTTTGATTAGTAATATGCATTGCTAAGAACTTCATTTAGACAACTTTAAAGGTGAGTTTCTCAATATTTGGATTTTTTTTTGCACCCTCAGATTCCAGATTTTCAAATACCGGTAGTTGTATCTCAGCCAAATATTGTCCTATCCTAACAAACCATTCATCAAAGGAAAGCTTATTTATTCAGCTTTCAGGTAATGTGTAAATCTCAATTTCCAAAAATTGACCCTTATGACTGGTTTTGTGGTCCAGGGTCACAAATGAAATAAAATAAAACAAAACAAAATACTCCTTTTCATCAGTACCTTCTTGCCTGAATGAATCTCTTGACGAGGCCGAATCTCTGTGTCAATATGAGAAGTTTGCTGTCAGCCTCGTCTCCACTGCGACCCTTTGCTTTAGTCAGACACTTGCACGCCTCCGTCAGAGCGCCATACGCCTTCTCATAATTCTGATAATCGTCAATTTCCACCTGTGTGCATTCATAAAAATAAAGGTTCCAGAAAGGGATTTTCACAGCAATGCCATAAAAGAACAATTTTTGGTTTCTCAAAGAACCTTTCAGTGAACAGTTCTTAAAATAACCATTTTTTCTTAATGTGAAGAACATTTTAATAATCTCTAAAGAAACTTTTTCCACTATAAAGAACCTTTTGTGGAATGGGAAGGTTCTATGGATGGTAAATGTCCTTCATGGAACCACTAATGCCAATAAATGTATTTGTAACACTGTAAGGTGTTGATTATTGCATGGTCAGTTTTAGCAGTACCGTCGGACACACGCTCTCAGTACCTCAGCACAGGCCTCATAAAAGCCAGCGAGCAGATCGAGCGCACGTCCTTTTGTGTAGAAGCCGATGATGTTCTTCATGTTCTCCGCGTCGTTCCTCCAGTCCAGTGACTGCAGGTAGTTGGCTGCCATCACGTAAATTTCCTTCTGTCTGGAAACACCTGCGAAAAACACTATTTTCTCGGTATCGCCGGATTTCAACAGCGCTCGCATTGCCTGTCAAAGATGAGAACAGGAACAGAGAAGAAAAGCTTGATTTCTTTGCTTTTAGACGAGCCTGGTGAAAACCTATTTCAGGATAAGTGAAGATATAAATAGGCAATAAGTAAATATAAAAGAGACAAAAATAGCTGGTGAAAACCCATGCATTTTTTTCAGAGCCCCAAACAGAAAAAAATATGCAATTTGGTGAGGCTGATGCTATATTTATATGGCCAGAAAGTAAGATTAAATTATGTTAGCTTGTAATGTAAAATCAACGAAACCTTATAAGAGTATATCAGACTACTAATACATAAAATACATACAAATATTAGTTGTCACTCTATAGCTCCCATTAATGTCTTAGTGAGATGCTTAGTTTTATGATTAAAGCTCTGTAGTTTCAAATCATATAATACAATGCAATACAATGACGATTGAGAATTGAACAAATAAACGTGAAATAAATGTGTAAAACAAGTTTTGATCATGTTCATAATTTAAAGACCTCAGAAATTCATATATCAATACACAGCAAGCTTTATAGGGTTAATTTGAGTTGAAATTATTTTAAGAAGTGAGAAGAAAGTAACATATGAGAAACATGAAACTAGCTCAGTGTAGAAAATTGATGTGATAACCATCAGTTCTATTGTTTGGCATCATTATATATAAATATCTGACTGCAAATGCAGTGAATCAGAATCAAGTATTCACAAGAACCGTGACACCAGAATGTCATAAGATTACGTGAAATGGGCAAAATGAAAGCTGTTATTGATTAGTAAATCAGCTGTGGGTTTGTGCACGAGTCAAACCTTGATCTTGTTTCCAGCTTGTGTGTATTTCTTAGTGGCTAAGTGGTAGTTGCCCTGTCGCATGCAGCAGTCTGCGATTTTCTCCAGCAGTTCCTTTCTCCCGGCCTCAGACAGATGGGACGAGTCTTTTGGCACCGTCAGACTTTCGGCCAGATCTTCTGTGATGCTCAAACTCTGGTCCAAACACAACTGGAGCGCCTCATGGTACTACACACACATATCCATATGCATACAGTTACGAAACACTGTTGTGATTTCTATTTAATTCTACTATTACTATAAAGTTTTAATAATCATTCTAATTCCATGAAAACAGAATTAGAACACAACTATAATAATAACGAGAAGAGGAATGATATGTTAGGAACAAATTATCCAGCTGATGAATGATAAAAACACTGACAGCCAATCAGAACCCATCTTGCGTCAAGAGATTGATCATTTAAAGCAGCAGATGACAAAACTGCAGCTTGCACTTAAAATAAACAGAAAGTTATTGTGAGTTACCGTTATTGTTCTTGTTGTAAACTGCCTTTTTGTTCAGTTTGCATGCAGAAATGGTATGAATATGAAATGATTGGTTGTATGACAGTGCATGGTGTGTTCACCTTTTTGGCAGCCACCAGCAATTCCACAGCTTTCTGGTACTGAGCGTGCTTTATGAAGAAATCAGAGCAGCGTGCTAGTAGGGCAGGGTCACTGTTTTCATTTAGGTCCTCTGCAATCAGCTGCAGAGCTCCAAACTGCTCTGTGGCAAAAGCTAGCTCCAAAGCCTTAGACACATGACCTGCCTGGAAAAGAGGAATGGAGCCGTCTTTTATAAGCAATCAGCACAACCTAGTGGTAAAGTTCAAAGGTGCATGTACTTGTTTGGATGTACCTTATGATAAAGCATAACAGCTCGGTCCATGTGCATTCCTTTCTCTTCATAATACATTGCTGTGTCCATCATGTCCTCTGGATTGCTAAGCAGTGCCAAATTCATGAGCTGCTCGTCCAAGTTATTCTCTTTACACAGTCGTATGGCATTATTATAGGCTTGCGCTCGTGTGTAAAAATGCACCGACTGGCTGATTTCATCCTGTCCCTCGTACTGCCGTGCAACATGATAAGACGCTGCTCTGTTGCCCGTCTCATTGGCTATCTCACTCGCCTGTCAAATATATAGATCACTGTGAAGTGTTTGGTTCATTTGGTTTTGGACACAAAGGGAACTTTCATCAACATACCTTTTGAATGTTTCCTAGATAACAGTGCACGCGCACTTGAGACAGGTAGTCCTGAGCGAGGTCATAGTAATGCAGCGCAGCCTCCATGTCTGATTGGCTCTCTAGATAATGACCCCACCACTTGTACAGATCCCTGGCCAATCACACACCAGACATCAGAGAATATCAAAGCCACCTCAGACTGCAGGGACCAGAATCATGAATCAATGAATCAAACTCACTCGTCCTTCATTTTATTGATGTAGATCTCCAGTGATAGATTGTCCTCCATCAGCATTCTCGGCACTTCAAACCGATGTGTGTCTGACTTCTCAAAACTATAGAATGGGACAGAAAAGAGGTCATGTATACATACTTAGGGACCGTTTACATGACAATGTTTTCAGCCAAAAACGGGAAACTTTTTATGCGTTTTGACTGTTTGTTTACACGACAACGCCGTTTTGGGGACTGAAAACGCATATTTTTGAAAACGGGTTTTAAAGTTCAAGTTTTTGAAAACGGCACCGTTATCGTTTCCGTGTAAACACCCAATACGGGAATCTGTGAAAACGGTGACGTCATGCATGTGCATAGTACGTGTTAGGTATGTAGACATGCGCAGTACGTGTCGATTTTAAAGGCAAGCGCGAACAAACATACACAACAATGGCGGAGTACATGGTACTGTTGTTGCTGATCAAGAGTGTGCTAACGCTTCTTCAGCAAAGTGTGGATTTACTTCACCAATATTACAACCAACAGCGGAGACGCATCTTATACATCATATAATTGTCACTTCTCTACACATACTGTTTACTAACAAGGTGACAGCACCAACTACTGGCCTGGCATATGTAATACAGCATTTTTGGCCATTTTCGCGGATATGTGTAAACGCGAATCGTTTTGAAAATGTCGTGTATACGTGAAACTCCAGCAGTTCCTTTCTCCCGGCCTCAGACAGATGGGACGAGTCTTTTGGCACCGTCAGACTTTCGGCCAGATCTTCTGTGATGCTCAAACTCTGGTCCAAACACAACTGGAGCGCCTCATGGTACTACACACACATATCCATATGCATACAGTTACGAAACACTGTTGTGATTTCTATTTAATTCTACTATTACTATAAAGTTTTAATAATCATTCTAATTCCATGAAAACAGAATTAGAACACAACTATAATAATAACGAGAAGAGGAATGATATGTTAGGAACAAATTATCCAGCTGATGAATGATAAAAACACTGACAGCCAATCAGAACCCATCTTGCGTCAAGAGATTGATCATTTAAAGCAGCAGATGACAAAACTGCAGCTTGCACTTAAAATAAACAGAAAGTTATTGTGAGTTACCGTTATTGTTCTTGTTGTAAACTGCCTTTTTGTTCAGTTTGCATGCAGAAATGGTATGAATATGAAATGATTGGTTGTATGACAGTGCATGGTGTGTTCACCTTTTTGGCAGCCACCAGCAATTCCACAGCTTTCTGGTACTGAGCGTGCTTTATGAAGAAATCAGAGCAGCGTGCTAGTAGGGCAGGGTCACTGTTTTCATTTAGGTCCTCTGCAATCAGCTGCAGAGCTCCAAACTGCTCTGTGGCAAAAGCTAGCTCCAAAGCCTTAGACACATGACCTGCCTGGAAAAGAGGAATGGAGCCGTCTTTTATAAGCAATCAGCACAACCTAGTGGTAAAGTTCAAAGGTGCATGTACTTGTTTGGATGTACCTTATGATAAAGCATAACAGCTCGGTCCATGTGCATTCCTTTCTCTTCATAATACATTGCTGTGTCCATCATGTCCTCTGGATTGCTAAGCAGTGCCAAATTCATGAGCTGCTCGTCCAAGTTATTCTCTTTACACAGTCGTATGGCATTATTATAGGCTTGCGCTCGTGTGTAAAAATGCACCGACTGGCTGATTTCATCCTGTCCCTCGTACTGCCGTGCAACATGATAAGACGCTGCTCTGTTGCCCGTCTCATTGGCTATCTCACTCGCCTGTCAAATATATAGATCACTGTGAAGTGTTTGGTTCATTTGGTTTTGGACACAAAGGGAACTTTCATCAACATACCTTTTGAATGTTTCCTAGATAACAGTGCACGCGCACTTGAGACAGGTAGTCCTGAGCGAGGTCATAGTAATGCAGCGCAGCCTCCATGTCTGATTGGCTCTCTAGATAATGACCCCACCACTTGTACAGATCCCTGGCCAATCACACACCAGACATCAGAGAATATCAAAGCCACCTCAGACTGCAGGGACCAGAATCATGAATCAATGAATCAAACTCACTCGTCCTTCATTTTATTGATGTAGATCTCCAGTGATAGATTGTCCTCCATCAGCATTCTCGGCACTTCAAACCGATGTGTGTCTGACTTCTCAAAACTATAGAATGGGACAGAAAAGAGGTCATGTATACATACTTAGGGACCGTTTACATGACAATGTTTTCAGCCAAAAACGGGAAACTTTTTATGCGTTTTGACTGTTTGTTTACACGACAACGCCGTTTTGGGGACTGAAAACGCATATTTTTGAAAACGGGTTTTAAAGTTCAAGTTTTTGAAAACGGCACCGTTATCGTTTCCGTGTAAACACCCAATACGGGAATCTGTGAAAACGGTGACGTCATGCATGTGCATAGTACGTGTTAGGTATGTAGACATGCGCAGTACGTGTCGATTTTAAAGGCAAGCGCGAACAAACATACACAACAATGGCGGAGTACATGGTACTGTTGTTGCTGCTCAAGAGTGTGCTAACGCTTCTTCAGCAAAGTGTGGATTTACTTCACCAATATTACAACCAACAGCAGAGACGCATCTTATACATCATATAATTGTCACTTCTCTACACATACTGTTTACTAACAAGGTGACAGCACCAACTACTGGCCTGGCATATGTAATACAGCATTTTTGGCCATTTTCGCGGATATGTGTAAACGCGAATCGTTTTGAAAATGTCGTGTATACGTGAAACCTTTTAAAATCGCAAAGGAAAAACTTTTCAGTATTTGACTACACCATGGTCGTGTAAATGTAGCCATAGACACATGCATATATATATATATATATATATATAACAAAAAAAAAAAAACTAAAGGTTAAAAAAACAAATTAAAAAAATCTTTAAGTCTTACATTTAGAGTTTAAAAGTTTATATTTTTTACTTTTATTTATTTATTACTTTTTATTGATACTTTTCAATCAGAGACACAAAAGAGATTATAATAGTTATGAATTTTTAAAATATTTTCTTTATATTTTTAAAAGACGTTTCTTAAGCTCACCAAGGATGTGTTTATTTAATTAAAAATACAGTAAAAATATATTGTGAACTATTATTACAATTTAAAATAACTGCTTTGTAATTTAATATATTTTAAAACGTAATTCATTTCTGTGATGCAAAACTGAATTTTTACGCAGCCATTACTCCGGTCTTTAGTGTCACATGATCCTTCAGAAATCACTCTAATTTGATTTAAAAACATACAAAAATCTTAATTATTCCAAAAATTTGATTGGTAGTGAAAATTTAGGGAGCAGAATTTTTTTTTCTTAAATACTGATACTTTTATTCAGCAGTGATGTATTAAATTGATCAAATATGAGAGTAAATAAATGTATGTTACAAAAAAAATTTTTTTCAAATAAATGCTATTTATTTGAACTATTCACCAACAAATCCTGAAAAAAGGGTTTTCAAAACATATGAAGCAGCACAACAGTTTTCAACATTAATAATAATCAGAAATGTTTCTTGAGCAGCAAATCAGCATATTAGAATGATTTCTGAAGGATTACGTGACACTTAAGACTAGAGTAATAATGCTGAAAATTCAACTTCGCATCAAAGAAATAAATTATATTTTAATTTATATTACAACAGAAAACAGTAATTTTACATTATAAAAATATTTCACAATATTACTATTTTTACTGTATTTTTGACCAAATAAATGCAGTCTTGGAGAGCAAAAGAGACTTCTTTCAAAAACCTTAAAAATGTGACTGCCCCCAAACTTTTATAAAAATGACATCGTAAAATATAATTATATATCAAAATAAAATGATAGGCAGGGTTTTGAAAAGGATGCACGATATTGGATTTTTGCCGATATCCGATATTTTTCGAATCATTTTGGCCGATACCGATACCGATATATTTCCTTTTGTTTGGAAACAACACCATGTCTCTCCTGTGCAGAACTTTTAAGCAAAATATTTTTAATTTTGGTTAGTTTTTAACAAGAACTTATTTGTTAGAATTAAATAAACAATAATGCGGGTTTTTTGACAATACATTGAAGCTTTAAAAATAACTATAAATAAACTATATATCAATCGCTGCTTTTCCCAGAAAAATGCAGTGTTAATCCTAACATTTTATCTTAAGATTTAACATTTGTAGATGGTCTAAAGCAGGGCTGTCCAAAATCAGTCCTGGAGGGCCGGTGTCCTGCAGAGTTTAGCTCCAACCCTAATTAAACACACCTGAACCAGCTAATCAAGCTCTTTCTAGGCATAGAAACTTCCAGTCAGGTGTGATGAGTCAGGTTGGAGCTAAACACTGCAGGACACCGGCCCTCCAGGACCGAGTTTGGACAGCCCTGGTCTAAAGCAAAAGAGTTGTAAAAATTCTGAAAATCTTTTAGAGCTTATGATTTGTTTAAAAAATAAAACATATTAGACATTAATGAATAAATCAATATATATAAATTTATTTTACAAGTGTCATGTTTGATTTTTTTTTTCATGACAGCTATGGCTTCTGACCTTTAGATCAAAACATACTCATTATTTTATGACATCAATTACTGCTTTATTTAATCAGAAACACAGTCTAATTGTTATTTGTGTAGGCTATTTTACTTTTAATGTAATTAGAAGTAGGCCAACAGCGCCCCTTACAGATTAAAACTCCTACCGAACGGGCGTTAGGACCTGGGGAAGGCTGTCACTGCTGCCACTGTTAACTCTATCATACACTGAATGCATCATTCTGTACGTGCTTTCACAGATTAAATGCAGCGATCCAAAACAGTCAATCTAATCATCATTCAGACAAAACTTTGCTTCAAGAATGAGCCACACTGCTGAGGTGATCTAATCGCTAGCACACCATCAGCACATGTGTTAAGGTATTACTCTTATCGGCAAGACATATCGGAATAATCTTTCATATCGGGCCATGTCGATATTTACATTTAAATCCATTATCGGCCGATTCCGATATTAGTCCGATAATATCGTGCATCCCTAGTTTTGATATTTGTTGGATCTTGGAGGTGTATCACAGCTGTGATTGTGTGTGAAGATGACACTCACTACACCAGCGCTAGGTTCTTGTCTCCCATGGCCTCCTGGTGTTTGGCGTAGCTGTAGTAAGTGGTTCGGAGGTGAATGCGGTCGTGCGTTTCTGCCGTCTCCACCGCCTGCTGCCATTGACCTGCCGCCTGATAAAACTTATTCAATAAATCAAACCTCCCGCATGACTTATACAAACGCTCTGCATCCTCCTGCGAAAAAAGAGCGAGATGCTGCGATAAACCCAAACGTTTAAATCCAAATGTTTAGTTCTTGTCATTGTACTGAATGAGACAGAGAGGCTACAAGTGCTCTAGGTTTATTTAGACAATGCTGTGTTTGTGCTTGTGTGCTTTAAACACGACATGAAACATCATTCACAATGTATTCAGCTTCCATAATGTGACACACCTCAGAGTGAGACATATATATGACATAAGAGGTGAATTTTGTGTTCAAGTCATCTGTGGAAAGTGTTTATGTGTCTTACCAGCATGCCCAGCTGTGTAGCCAGAACGGCCACCTGTGCCTCCACCTCTGGCTCTTTTTCAGCGTCCCTGAGAGCACGAGCGGCCCGCGCGTTTCCCATGTTCCCCAGACACACGCGCGCCACGTCCAGACGACAACTCTTCACACACATCCGTGCCATGTTCTCCCACACCGCCTCACTGCAGATGCAGATACACATACACACAACACATTCAGTTCACTTCAAAAGCCAGAGATGTCTCAAAGAAGGCCATAAGACAGAAAGAATGTTTTTTTAAATCATCCTAACAGTCTTAAAACAGGTTCCACAGTGGCTCTGTTGAGTTGCTATATGGTAATGTCTTTGATGTTCCAGGTTCTTTAAATCAACAGATTGTTTTTTTAAAGCAAAAGTATATAGAAGCTTTTCTAAACAACTAGAGACTTTTTGACTACCATGACTTTTCTAATATTTTGTGATTATTTAATGAGATTCAGCTGCTAATGATTTAACCGATTTGTAAACTCAGCAGGAAGATCCATGATCTCAAGAGTCAGACATTATTATGGCTCACAAGTAATATTTACTTTACATAAGCTCTGCTGTAAAATATTCTAATGGCGAGCATAACATTAAAGATGTATATTCACCATAGAAATGAGTCATTCTTAGTAAAACTTTACAATGTTACATTTGTTAACTACATTAGTTAACATCATCTAATAATGAGAAATACTGTACTTCTGAATCATTTTCAAATCTTAATATTAATTTTGAAATTTACTAATACATTATTAAAATCAAAATGAAAACTATGAAAAGTTGTTTTATGCGCTAAAATGAACAGATTAATAAATACTGTTACAAATGTACTGATCATTGTTAGTGTAAGTTATTGCATCAGCTAACGATAACTAATGGGATCTTATTGTAAAGTGATACAGAATTCTTTATTGGGAAGATTGTACTGTATTTAATTCCATTATAAACATTCTCTCATATTTACGGGGTTTTTTTGTTTGTAACTTTTGGGACCCTTTAGAAAAAAGGTTGTTGTTTTTTTTACTTAAAAAGGTTTACAATGACATCATCACGGTTTAAATTCTTTTTTTTTTTTTCTTTTTTTTCAGATTTCTTTTTTTGGCAATATTCCAATTACATTTTTCTTGTCTTTTTTCTGAAAACTTCAGATCTGCACCATTTTAAAGTGTGGAAAAGTGCACTGAAACATAACATGAAGTAATAAGTCTGTCTTTAAAGGGTGAGAGGATGTTTTAAAGATGATATTTGTGGAAACTCTTAGCAGCAGCTCTTTGAGTTTCTCCCTCCGTTCCACCTCATGAGCGAACCGTCCCAGCTATGCATGGAATGACCCCATCAACACCCAACACTCTCTCGCCCACATTCCCCCTCTCCCACTCGCTTGGCCCTTCGCGCCCTCCCTGCTTTTTTCATCCACTCCCATCTGGTCTTTATTTATCCCTCCGTTCTCTAATTTTTTCACTCCGTTCGGCTTTTAGTAGATACAGATGTGGGCTGTTTATTAGAGCTAAGCAACAGGAAATTCCCTGAATCTTTGGGGGCCCAGAACTGGAAAAGAAACAACAGAAAAGTAGAAAGAGAATTATTATTTCCCCCTTTTTTTGGATAAAACATGGATTTTTTTTTTTACATTGTTCTGGGTGGTTGCAAGTCAAAAAACCCTTGAATCTCTATGATCTTCTAGTCTCTTGGCTCCTTCAGTGTGCATCTGTGGGATTTTGTCACTTAATTTATAGTCCAGTGAGTGACACAAAGCACACCACTCCTCAACAACATGCATGATTTGAGGAACCATTTATGTCTGGAGCAGAAACATTGCAGGACGATATACAGGATTCTTATAAAAGTTCCTAAAGGTGGTTTTCGCAATAATGCCATAGAAAAACCATTCCTCAAAGAACATTTTAAAGAACAATTCTTAAAAGAACCATGTTTATTAGTGTGAAGAACATTTTCGTAGTCTAAAGAACCTTTTTCCACTTTTGCACTCTTAAAAGTAAAGGTTTCAAAGGGGGTTTGGCAGTGATGTCATAGAAGAACCAATTTTTGGTTCTTTAAAGAACATTTCAGTAAACAGATCTTTTCCAGTAAACCATTTTTTCTTAGTCTGAAGAACACTTTAAACAACTTTTTATGCAATGGAAAGGTTCCGTGGATGTTAAAGATTCTTCATGGAACCGTAGATGCTAAAAAAGAACATGCTTAAAAATAAAGGTTATTTTTTGGCATTGAAGGTTCCATGAAGAACCTTTAATCTCCAAGAACAATTCATTCCATAAAAGGTTTTTTATAGTGAAAAGAGGTTCTTCAGATTATTAAAATGTTCTTCACATTAAGAAAGAAATGGTTCTTTTAAGAACTGGTCACTGAAAGGTTCTTTGGGGAACCCAAAATGACATCTTTGTGAAAACGGCCTTTTGGAATTTTTAAGAGTGAACCTTTTTAAGAATGTGTAGAATGGAAAGATTCCATAGATGTTAAAGGTTCTTCACAGAACCATCAATGCTAATCAAGCACCTTTATTTTTAAGAGAGAAACTGAACTTTAATATTTAAGTGTAACTAGACCAAAGATATCTATGATATTTCATCTCCTGCTCCATCATTAACCAGCTCACTAAGTCAAAGAGAGAACGAGGACGGGTGTTGCATTCTGTTCTGTCTACGTTCCTTCCAGGAAACACATCCTGTAGCTGGAGTAACGTGCTTGTCACCGACCAAGAGAGAGAGAACTCCTACCCTCTCATCCCAGTCCTTCTGAGCTTTTCAGGGATAAAGCACACACATGCTCGCACGTGAAGATGGGAAACTGGTTAGGACGAGTAATCTGAGATAAACGAGCGAGGAAAGAGTGTGGGAAAGAACGAGAAACACAAGAGACTGCATCACGCAGACATTCCTCAGCAGGGAGACGAGGAGAAAAAAAACAGCCAGCGCACATCTGGAGCAGAAAGGGGGAGGAACGGACGGCCAGAGAGCAGCAGAAGAACGGCGCAATTAAAAGAAAGCGTGCGTGTTTATGTGATGGCCTTGGAGGTCCAGCGTCCAGTCTTACGAGCAGCAGTGACCCCCGACTCCGAGGAAGAGGGTTAGAGACTCCCGTCAAGACTCAAGAATGAGTGGCGATGTCCTCTAGCTAACCTCTCACAGCGTTCATGCCGCTCTGTGTTTCTGCCTAGCGTGCCCGTGTGCCCGTGGACGTTTCAGGAATTCGGGCGCTCCGGAGGGTGTATGGCCGTGCGCAGGCTGGTGGTGGTGGCGGCGGCGGTGGCCCTGCTTTCTCTGGTGTTCAACAACTTGGCGACATTCAGCTCCAGCTGGGTGCTGCAGGTGCTGGAGGACGGACGGCGGCGGAGCGTGGGGCTCTGGAGAGCATGTGCGCACGAGGACACACACGCTCACGAGCCCACAGCCTGCCAGAGACTCAGCTGGGGATCGGAGCTCGCGGGTTATCAGGAGTCACGCAGCACTGTCAAACGTGAGTCTCCGGTGAATAGATGCTAATACAGCCTCTGCAGTAAACTCATTTCTGCACATTTTAATACACTGATACCCTTTACTTAACAGAGAAAGATAACACTTTCATTAACATATATTTTTAACAGATCAGTAGGTAATGTACAATCAAACAGAAATATTGCTAAACATATAAATAAATAATTTCAAAGCTAAGCATGATTTTGTGAGCATAATATCCAAGCATGTCTTACTGAAAGTTATTATGTTGTAGAAAAGCACTGAAAATGCGACAATTATATAATGTTTAGTAAAAATAAACTGAAATACTTAGAAATGTCATACAACTTTGAGTAATATATTTTTTATATATATGTTTGATGTTATATATTTATATACACATGTAATAATAAAAATAAAAGTATATAAATAATATATAAATAAAATATCTATAATATATGAAATGGAATAAAAAAGGAATATATATATATATATATATATATACACACACACACACATATTGCAATTTAATATTACAATTTAATACAATGTATGTGTGTGTGTTTATGTGTGTGTGTATATATATATATATATATACTGTATATATATTAAACAAATATTTTATTATGTTTTATAATATAATATAATATATTACATTTTATTATTTGGTCTTACTATTCTTAATATAGAAATAGTTTTATTTATTGCCATTTATTTAATGTATTTCTCTTTCTGGAAATTTAGCTTCATTAAAAATATATAATTAAATAAATGAATTAAAACGAGCAGAAATCTGTCAAGCTTAAGATCACTGCAAGAATTTGTGATTACTCAGAAAAGTTAAAAAGATTACTCAGGTTAGTATTAAACCATGGCAACTATCACTGGATGAACAAGTAAGCAGAGCTTTGCTGGCCTGTATCATGCAGCCTGGCACGTCTGTCCATCTATCCCAATTTAGAAATAGGAAACGGATGGACACAGTGAAGGATTGTCTTTCAGGAAGTGACACCCACATTGGCACAGTTGTGTATTATAGACATCTGCAGCTGGATCTTCCTTACAATGATTCAGATCCTACACACACACACACACACACACACACGCACTCCTCTGCTCATACATGTATATGTGAATCAAATGAGTCACTGAATCATTTACGTATCATATGAGCATTTATATTTCTTTTTTTCTGATTGCAGTTCAGTTTGACATGATGCGGGCATGTAACCTGATGGCTATGGTGGCTCTGACCGTGGGTCAGCTAATCTTCCTGTTTGGGTTACTGGAGATAAGCCACATTACCCAGGATTCTCAGTGGTGGGAGGAAGCCATCGCTGCCCTGTTCCAGTTAGCCAGTGAGTGTTCAAACCCGCTTCTACAGTCGCTAACAAACACTAACAGCCCCTTTGTGGAGCGTCAAGAAGCCTGACACAAACACCACACCTTCAAACAACACATTCATTCTACAATATCAAACCGTCTGTCCTCAGAGATACAGCTTCTATTGTCCTGTGTTTGTTGTTCTGCATTTTGGGAAAGGAAAGATGGAGCTTTGAAGATCTGTAACAGAACAAACATCAACAAAGCACAGCGGCCTGAAGCTACACACAATTCAACAGGAAACAACAGAGTCCTGGCCAGAGGCCCGCTCACAAAATAAATCCGCTCCCATTTGGGAGGTACGCAGGTCTGTCTCTTCAAACCTCGCTGTTGACGTCCCATGAAAGTGTGCTAGCTGTGATGTTATCTTGTTTTATTGTGCGTGCTTGCTTTCACAATTTGAGTTGAATTACTGAAATAAATGAAAACTTTTCCACAACATTCTAATTTATTGAGATGCACCTGTATACTATCTGCATAGATGTTTAAATGCTAACTTGCATACTCACATGAACATATGCTCGTTGATGGACTATTAGTGAATGGACAGTTGGTGAGGTAGTTATTACAGAAACACCCAGAACATCCTAGCAACACCCTAGCAACTGTCCAGAAAACCCTAGCAATGACCTAAAACACCTTACCAACCACCAAGAACATTCTAACAACTAGGGGTGGGCGATATACCAGTAGACACGTTTAACCAGTAGAAATTTGTCAACCGGTAGAGATTTTGGACTATCGTCTTTATCGTGCTTATGCACTGAGGTGCGTATGGTCATGAAAATGTATTGTTTGCCCACATTTTTAAGCATTTTAAAAACAAATGTTTTTAAGCCTTTTAAATGCAAACAACAGCGCTATATGCACGTGCAATCTGTGAGACTGTTTCTGAGTGCGGCCTGAGCGCATATGAATCCGCTGCTCTGAGCGCGCAAGTATTTTTGTTGCTTTATTGGCCTTGAACGGTTAAATACACATACATATACTTGTGAAAATGCCCGTCTTTGCAAGTATCCTTGTAAACACAGTCATTTAGGTCTTAAGTGAAAGTAAACAGCTGAGAAATAAAACGCATGTGTAACAGTATATTGATCCGGGCAGTTCTTAAAGTGACAGCAGTCTAATATTCCTGCTGTCTGTCATTCATGTTAATCAAACAACAGTGAGAGAAAATCTAAATCACTTCTGTAACTTTAATAATGAGAAATTTAATTTACACAGTGAAAACTATGCAGTGTCTTTTTGGGGGACTTTTGCCTTTATTATGATAGGACAGATCAGAGCTGATAAGAAGTGAAGTGGGAGCGAGATAAGGGGGCGGTATCAGGAAAGGTCCTTGAGTTGGGATTCGAACTCGGGACGCCCGTATCGCAACGGTGCTGTATGTTGGCGAGCTGCCCACAAGCCTATCGGCATGTATTTATTGATTGTAGTTTTTTGTCCTATTGCTTGTAATTAGTTACTTATCTTCAGTGAGCTTGAGTTTTTCTATTTTTTCAGGCTTGTATTAGTTTTTTTCTGTGATATTGACAGTGGTGACTGGAATTATGAAAATTCTATGGTTTCAAAAACTTTGATATCATAAAAACCTTATTAAATGCAAACTAACTATATTGTGCTGTATATTGTTATCGTGATAAAAAATTACTCATGTGATATAAGATTTTGGTCATATCGCCCACCCCTACTAACAACCATCAAGAAAACCCTAGCTATGTCCTACCAACCACCAAACAATGCTATTACAACCACCCAGAACACCCCAGCGTTATGGAAGTACTCATGTTTTATTCATTCACTTTGATCACAATGGTTGTTTTCTTAACCTCAGGTTTTTTTTTTTAGACACTCTGATCCTTTCCTTTGTAAGATAATGAGCTCTAGATAGTCTTGTTTTTGAAAAATTATTTTCAGTTTCAGCAAAGCCGTCCATTGTGCAACGATGGTGGTCTGTTACTAGTGAAGCATATCAGTCCAGCTAATAGTGCACAATGTGTGTGTCGTTTTAAGTGTGACAATAGTTATATTTAGCTAACGGGGGCCCAGAGCACCAGCGGCAGCCGCGTAGCTCCAGAGAGCGACAGTCAGGCGCCAGGATATCCCTGCTCAGGACGAGGAAGTGTCTGTAACTACCTGTTATGCAAACCCAGAGCCGCAGAGGAAAGACGGGGAGGGGGAGTGTGACAGTATGGAGGGGGCCAACGAGTGTCAGAGTTATTAGACACGGACGGGAATTGGTGATATTTTAAGAAGCGCAGAGCAATAGGGAAGAAAGAGATGTGGATGTATGTGACGTCCTGATGAAACATGCTCCTCTGTGGCGAATCTAGAATCTCTCACAGTGTGTGTGTGTGTAATGGGTGGAGGAAACAAGTGTCCTGATTAACTGTCCCCGCAATACTGCGTCTGTTTTCACAATCTCTAGGGACAGACTATGTCTGACAAAATGAAAACAATTGTCCTCGTACTGCAATATAAATGATAAACAAGCACAAACTGCTTCCATGAAGTAAACCAATCAGATGCAGACAAACCATCAACTCCTTACAAACATCCATATGTACATTAGACTTTCCTCCCATCTCAGTTTAAGTACACTGACTAGACATTCACACAACGGCGCCATTGAACAGGGACTTTCCCTCAGACACCTTAATCACTTCACTCAAGGACACAACAATGATGGCTCAAGGCTAGTTTGTGGGCCATTTAATTTCAGTTTTATTCTAAAGCACTTTGTGTTAATGAGAGTGAAAGCTAAAAGGGATAGTTCACCCAAAGATGAAAATTCTGTCATCATTTTCTCACCCTCATGTTGTTCCAAACCTGTATGAGTTTCATTTCATTTTCATCATATTTTAAAGAATGTTTGTAACCTAACAGTTGCTGGTAGCCATTGACTAAGTATTTTTCCATACTATGAAGTAAAATGGCATTTCTGTGTGAAGTATCTTTTTAATAATATAACAAATAGTTTTGGATCAAAAATCAGATTGAATTACAACACTTGAAAAGCTGTTGTAAAAGGGTAATATACACACAAACTTGCGACTGAACATCATGAAATCTATATTAATGAACCATACCACAAGTGCATTTTTTTGGGCAACTAAATAGCCTACTGTGAGGCTAATGAATATTTAAAGATAAAAATAAACAAATAAATAAAATAAAAATTATATATATATATATATATATATATACACACACTAAAGTTCAATAATGAATTCAATTAATAAATAAATAAAAGAAAAAGAAAATGTAATTACTAAATAATTATACTAAATATTGGTATGCAGTGTGATCTGTAGGATTTAAATTGTAGTAATGAATTAAACAAAAATAAAAGAGGTCTACAAATTCAAGTATACACTGAAACTGAAATCAAACACTTGTTCACCAATTCACCGTTAAATACATACTGAATGTCACACGAGTATAGACACGACTGCACTTTGTGTGATGTTAAAATCATAAGCTATTTGACTACTTGAAATACAATCTGACTGAAAATTGGACAAGGCTGGATATATGGATGTGATTTGGATCAGGATCCTTTTTCATAGGTGTTTTTTCTGTTAGACTACAAACAACTAACCAGATCTGAGAGGGGGGTTTTTTGGGGATATACTAAAAATAAAAATAAAAAAAATAAAAAAAAAAGATCAAGAATAAACAGTCCATGACAAAGTAAGTCAGAGAGAGAGCAATATGTGAAGCAAAGAGAGAAAAACATCTGTTCCTGAGTAAATTTAATCGAGCCTGTTATTGTACATCATGTTCCAGTTCAATTGTACAAGTGTGAGTAAGAATCGTCAGATGAAACTGAATGAATTGGATGGAAGGAAGGAAGAATGGAAGGATAGAGGAGAAAAGGAAGGAAAAGTGATGACACTGGGCCAAAAAAAAAGCTGCATTCTCGAATAAAAACAGAACGAATGCACGCCTCGCTCGCTCTTGTTTCTGCCTAAATAAAACACGCACGTGTAACACGATCTGAATCCTGTAACTTTTTCCATTTCGTTGTTCTCCTGCCATCTCACATCCTCTACGGTCTGTATTTCTGGGAATCTGCTGTTGTGTTTTCAGGCCGCAGTTATTAATAACACATGTGCTCGGAGTCTTTACAGGAAGCGGGAGACGTACTACTCCTATTAGCCAAAACCAACTCGAATCAGTCAAAAGGGAAGAAGATTGAGCTATTATTATGGTCGTGATGAATTAAAGGAATGTTTCGGGTTCAGGCTCTGTGGTCAGCTATGTGACATGCTTTCAAAAACCAAAGATAATAATTTGGTTTGTAAAAAACAAATACAAATGTTGTTTTCTAGAGAATGTTTTTTTAATGAACCAGGAAAGAGCTTCAGGAGGGGTTAAAAGCAAAATGTGCTGCTAATGATGTGTAAAAAATATATATATATATATTCTGTGCTCTCATGTCATATTTTATTTTTATCACAACCAAACTTTCTTGAGCAAACCTCAATTATGCTTTAAAATGCTTGGTCATGACAATTTCTTTTTACATAATATTATGAAAAGGCATGGAGTACTGTTCACAATTAAACCAGTAACATGCATTAAGAAATTTTATGCTGGCAAAGTAAAATTTTCCTTATTTTAAAAGACAAACTCAAAACAGAGAAATTCAGGCAAATTTAACACCCTTAAGAACTAGAAAAAGGTGTGAAACGTGAATTTAAAAAAATATATATATTTTAATAAAAGCCAAATTTAGGTAGAATTGGGTTTGTTTTATTCTATATAACCCACTGAAATGTAATGCTGGTAAGTGGGACATTAAATTGACAGATATTTTACTGAATTAAAAAAATAATAATAATAAAATGAATGCTCTATTTTAAAAGTTTTTAAAAGCATTACACATTAAAAAAGGGAAATATATCAAATATCATGATTAAAGTTGGCATGAAATTAATATTTACTCTATTTTCTAAATGCATGTATCCCCTAAATTTATGATTTCTTAAAAAAAAGTGTATTTTTATCAAATATATATTCTATAAATCATCCTAGTGAACAGAAAGTTCCCCTAACTGAATGAATATTTATATTGTATTTTTTCATTTAATAAAATTTTTACTTTCTTTCTTTTTTTTTCTCAGCGCCTGTTACACTTGATTAGTTCTCGGTCGAAAATAAAAGCCCTACAAAAAACATTTGAAAAAGACTGAATCCAAGATATGGTGATAATATCACATAATGAGAGATTTATAACCAACACACCAAGAATTTTCAGCACAGCACAAGGATTAAAGATTGACGCTTTGGCTGGTTTTAAACCATCTTCTGGAACTAAGTCCTGTCTCTCTCTCTGCAGGTTTTGTGCTGGTGATCGGTCTGGTGACGTTCTACAGGATCGGCCCCTACACTCACCTGTCCTACGCCTGCTACGTTAACATCGCTGCTTGCTTGTTTGCCACGCTAGCGGCCGCCATGCTAATCTGGAATATTCTGCATCGCCGTGATGACTGCATGTCTCCGTCGGTCATCGTCATCAGCCGATCTCTGACCACACCCTTCAGGACGCGCCTAGACAATGACTATGTAGAGTCACCATGCTGACACAAAGACACACCTCACCTGAGACAAAACACAGGGTGGATATTTAGACGGATGGACGGACACAAATGCACATGGAGAGGAGTTCTATCATTTTAAGTGAAACTGATCTCCTGGACTCCGCAAAAAGGGGATTCGGACTGAATGGAAGACTTTTGAAACGCATTTAAACACAGAAGCAGCACTGTGGATTGCGAAGAATACAACAGACAGATAAAGATCAAGCTGGATCTTGACACGTTTATGTTCATAAGTGTACTTGTGAGAAAGTAGAAGCACATTCGTATGCACACATATCGGTTATAGTTCTATGAAACATGGAGTTTCAGATTTCAAAAGGAGTCCAGGCATTGAATATTGCTCCCAGGTCAATTGAATACAGTCCTTTACAGGCCAGCATGGAATCTGCACTTTTATACATGTTCTCTTCTAATTGAAGGGGGAAAAAAATTCTGGACAGATTTAAATTGGGAAATTTTACATGTCCAGTCATTTTTTTGTGTGTGTTTTACATAAAGAAACCAAATTAATTTTTTAGAAACATTGCAATATTTTGCATTATGACATTTATTTGCACATTTGCCCCCAGATTCTCAAAATAATGTGTCTATTATAGTAAAGTGTCAATGCTTTACTTTTGAGCTTTTTTTAAAAATTAAAATAACCAAATTAAAGCAGAACAACAAATATATATAATATAAAACCGTCAAATAACGTAATGAGAACTCTGGGGAAAATATGCTAAATTTCTAAACATGCTTGATTGCTTCATTTTAAGCAAAATGTAATCCTTTTTTTTTAAATTGTCAAATTACTCCAACACATTTAATCTACCAATTTAAGAGAGAATGAGATGGAAATCATGGAGATTTTTTTTTCAGTAATGAGAACAGCAGGGGAATTTTGCTTAATAACCATGAAAATTTGCTTAATTGCTTCATTTTGTTTACACAAAACATTTTTTTTATTATTATAGTTAATTTTTTTACACACACATATATACATGAATATATATATATATATATATATATATACACGTATGTATATGTGTGTATATATATATATATATATATATACACGTATGTATATGTGTGTGTGTATATATTTATATATATATATATATATATATATGTATAACACACACATCAAAATGTGTTAAAAAGAGTGAGCGTATATCAAATTATTCCAAAATATTCAATTTATGAATATGTGAAGGAGACGAGATGGAAACCTGGAGGTGCAGATTCTATGCAGGCCTGGTCATTTGGTACCAGAATTATTTTATTGACTTCTGCATGTGCATTCATCTGACAATTGACATCTGATATTACAATAATCTACAAGATGCCAATGAGAAAACTCTGTATAGTCATGATCTGAAAGTGATAGACTGGAACTATATCAGTTCAGTAAACAATAAACATTAATATTTGCTTAACTGTGCCTGTGGTACCCATATAGGAGTATAATATAGAGCTATATTAAGTATATTATTAAAATTTCACCCTGAGTGGGACTGGTATAATATTATTAAAGAAATAAATATATATATATATATATATATATATACACGTATGTATATGTGTGTGTGTATATATTTATATATATATATATATATATATATGACACCCAAATATGGCAAAATGTGTTAAAAAGAGTGAGCGTATATCAAATTATTCCAAAATATTCAATTTATGAATATGTGAAGGAGACGAGATGGAAACCTGGAGGTGCAGATTCTATGCAGGCCTGGTCATTTGGTACCAGAATTATTTTATTGACTTCTGCATGTGCATTCATCTGACAATTGACATCTGATATTACAATAATCTACAAGATGCCAATGAGAAAACTCTGTATAGTCATGATCTGAAAGTGATAGACTGGAACTATATCAGTTCAGTAAACAATAAACATTAATATTTGCTTAACTGTGCCTGTGGTACCCATATAGGAGTATAATATAGAGCTATATTAAGTATATTATTAAAATTTCACCCTGAGTGGGACTGGTATAATATTATTAAAGAAATAAACATAAAGCCATTCAACACTCAAAGGGGATTTTCTGGGTTTGACTTTGTGTGTGTGTGAGAGAGAGATCAGTGAGCACAGAAGAGAGTCAAGGACAGTCTGAATGAGAGGAAATGAACAGAGACACACAATATACTCCACTGTGACCCCTGATTCCAGACTGACACTTGAACGATGATAACATGAGAGCAATTAATTTCATTACATGCACAGAAACTATTGGTATGAATAAGAGATAGCTCACCCGAAAAGGTGAGCTATATTCCACAAAAATATGAAGCAACGCAACTTTTTTAAAAACATGATTATTCTAAGAAATGTTTCCGGAGCAGCAAATCAGCATATTAGAATGATTTCTGAAGGATCGTGTGACACTGAAGACTGCTGAAAATACAGCTCAGCATCACAGGAAATTGCATTTTGGAAAAAAATATTTAAACTGTTATTTTAAGTTACACAGATTTGGAATGAAAAAAACCTTTAAAAGGTGAAAGGTTAAAGGTCATATAAACATATCCGACAGTCCGTGCCACAGACAAACCCTACAGGGATCCGTCACAGTTCTTGAGAATGTGATTGTTAAAGATAGGCATCAATAGATCACTCAACTCAAGCTCTTTTCCTCTTCTCACCGTTTCATCTGTTGCTAAAATGAACTAAAACAATACAGCAGGAATGTACAGTACACACACCCCGTACAGTCATGGAAATCTGTGTCTTTTACGGTAGTGCTCTCATACATTCCGGCGTCTTTTGGGAAGCCGCTACACACACCTACATATAAACATCAGTAACCTTACAAGCATGCAAAGTACAATTACAATTCCCATTATAAACATGAAACGCACACACACCCTTCCCAAAAGCCACTTCTGTAGATTTCATTCGAACAGGGAGACGGCAGTGTGTGTGTGTGTGTGTGTGTGTGTGTGTGTGTGTTTAGATCACAATATCCTCTCTGGAAATATGACAGGGAATGCATTTTGTGTCTGAAATCAATGAGAGCACTCATACAATAGAAACATCCGGCTCAACGTTCATTACCTCATTTATCAGTGGGAGATCATTTTTATGTTGGAGATCTTTTTATCATCTCCCTTTTCGCTGGAATGGATGGTAAATGGTAATCATGCCATCTTGCACGTCCTCCACATACACCCAGAGTGCAGAGGGTGTTTCACTCACTCACAGTGACTCAGTCGAACTCAAGGGGAATGCCTGCGTTTTAAATCCTGCTAAGCTGCCTAACTAGGTAGCACTTTTAGTTGTCATTGACCAATAAATTCACCAAGGAATTAATTGACCACAGGGCTTGCAAAATTTCAAAATCGCTGGTAGCTGGTATCAAACAATTAAATAATACAAATAAAATAAATCTCTTCATATAAACAAACTAAGGCTTTGGCTGTGCTTTTTCCATTTAAAATCAGAGGCAACCACTACATTTTAATCATGATCCAAACGAAGATCCTAAATAAATGTTATTTAGATTGCAATTAGATTGTATAATTTCGAAATTTGAAGCAAAAACAGAATGGTCTGATTTTAGCTTTGTGAATGAGACGCAAATGTCACTCTCTGACAGCAGGTGGCGCTTATGGAACAGCAGGTATTTATAGGCTGCTGCCTCTTTAAGACCGAATGCACGGATCCAATATAATGATGCATTTGAGATTTCTTTCACCACTGTTTACGTTCACTTAAGACATAACCGACTGTGTTTACGAGAATACTTGCCGAGACAGTTATTTTGAGATAATTTTGTGTGTATGTGTTCATTCAGATGCAAGGATATGCAAAAGAGGAATCAATTCTGTGTACGCGCATGAAACAGACTGTATAACGCGGCTCTCTGTGAATTAGAGTTCTCTTTGAATGAGTGCGCGCAGCACAGAATGCCCGTGAATTGTTTAAAACACTTGAATGTGCAAGACTTAGAAAGTGCAAGACTTAGAAACACGTGCAAATGATCAAGTATGATCCGTTTTACCCCTACAAGCTAGTGAACAACACAAATCAAGGAAGAAATTTTATATTACTGTTCAAGATAGCCCATCGGGCAGGGCGGTGATATATTTTGGAAGCCCGACTGGAAAACACAATAGCCCCGGGACGTCGGGCTAGCGATTTTGCGAGCCATGGACCAGTATTTCGAGAGGATCATTTTAAGACGATCCGTACAGTGCTGTTATTGTTAACTAAAACAAAAACGATTAAAAACTGCAAAAGAATATACAAATATATAAATAAAAGATAAATATTAGATTAAAAAAAAACTTAGAAAACTTAGAAATGTTGCATGGCATCTAACTGAAATAAAATAAGTTTAGGCTGAAGTACTCATATTACTAAAACTAAAATAAAAACTAATATAGAAAATAATAACAATGAAACAACCCCCCACCCCAAAAAATACAACAAAAATGATAATTTACAATATTAATAAATACTATAGAAGTATACAAATAATACTAAAATAGCACTTGATCAGTAACAGCCAATTAGCTTTCTATGCGAACATTTTCAAATAGTTTTATGAATTTTAACCAGCTTTATTTTAGTATTATTTATAGCTTTTATTTTTCTATTTTTATTTTCATTTAAGTTTTAAAAATTTTGTTGTGCTTTTGTAATTTTTTTATATTTCTATTTAGTTTTTCTTGATATTTGTTTTTACTCATTTTAGTATTTTACCTTCAAAATATTTTATTTCAGTTAGCGGCCAGGGCTGAATTTCTAATTTATTTATATTTTATTTCAACTTAATTTCAATAAACTATTTTTAATAGTTTTAGTTAACAATAACATCATTTTTGAGTAATCAGCAATCGATCATCCTGCTCTATATATATATATATCTATATATCGATCACTACAATAGTTTTTTGCCCAGTAGATTCATGCTTAAACACCTAGGAGGATTCTCAAAAATGCTGTCTATGGAGGCTGTCTATGGAGGCACAAACTATACACTTATCTAGTCTTTGATACGCAAGCACAGAAAATAAGTGTTGACATCTGAAGGGGTCATTCACACAGAACTCATTTTCACTAGGAAAAACTACTTTTAACCTGACACAGTACCAAAAAAATGCAGTAATCATGCACAAGATGCTGAAAAAGCAGCAAGCCACAGCAGAATGGTCAAAGACGACCGTCTAGTGCATGTTCAGACAGAAAAACAATCAAAAAGCAGTGCAGCTGAATGCAAAAAGTAACCGTAAAAACACTTTCAAATGTTCTACCAATCTAATTTCTGACTTGCACATTCACTTATTATGAACCTCATCGCTCTGGTAAGATGTGATTGCATGAGTGTTGAACATGTGTTTGTACCTCTTGATGAGTTTGATGGCTTTAAATGCTTCGTCCATGTCCCCTATAGTGAGGTAGAAGCTGAAGTTCAGCATGGCGTCTCGGGTCTGTTTCTCGCAGCTCTCTAACCCCACAAAGTCTCGGAGGGCTCGCCGTATCACCATCTGAGGGGACGAAGGCACCTGGGGTGCGGCGGAGGGAGTCGAGACCACCTGATCTCCACCCTCACCCAGCTGAGAGGACAGAGAGACCATTTTTTAAAGATACACCTTTATCAAAACGCAGACTCTTTGTAGATTACTGAAACAAATTCAAAGATATGAATGAAAAGAGGAAGAGTGATGTGTGATGATTCTTCTCCCAAATGACTGCTGGGTAATTGTGAGGTACTCACATCAGGGAGAACGAGGCCTCCCCTCCGAAATAAGAGCTTAGCAGTGGCAGAACAATCAGAATAGAATAAGAATGAGAAAAATAAAACAATGCATTCAGAAAAAATACAGTAAAAGGGTGAGAAATGGAGATGCATACAGAATGACAGAAAAGCATGGAGAAAGGGTAATGAAGGGTGTCTGTATCTTCTTTGTCTGTACCTTGCAAATATAATAGTAATACGGTGTATCTAAAGCCAGTAGAGAGAGCAGCGTAGCAGGTTTAGGCTGTGAGTCCTGCAGGAGGAGACCATGTTCCTGTGTCACAAAGAACGTCACCACCAACACATCCTCCTGCCAGGAAAGACAAAAACCTTTTTATACACTTTAACTCAATTAATGGATTCGGGTCTATTTTGACCTGGAAGAGATACATAAAAATGTCAAAAATAAAATGCATAGTTTTTAGTATGGAAAACAAACTGAGCCAAGACTATAAAAATAACCATCATTTAATTTTTCCAGCTTTTTTAAAGACTTCTAAGAGAGAGACAATTTCATCAAAATGTTATATTTTTTGCATTTGTGTCTGTTCTGAACCAGGTATAAACTGATTTAAAAAAACATTTTAAAAAGACAAAACAACAAAGAAAAAAAAAACATATGATGTTATGTTACTAAATATGATGCTATGCAGTTTTTTTTTTCAGTATTTGAGTAAGATTTGTCTCGCAAATCCTTTTGTAAATTATTTAGCCACTTTTCCATATCTCACATACACTCTTGGGACTGAAATTTGTTACAAATAAAAAAATACAAAAGTTAGAGAAGCTTAAGTTCAAATCAAGTTTGAATCAACTGCTCCAAATTTGAGGTTGACATCACAAAAAAATTAGGTTCCTATGAGATTTTATTTAGGCACTAGACCAAAAAAAAAAAAAGGGTGATGGATTATTAGTGTTTAAGGCAAGCTTTTAAATCATACCTAATTTATAATTACTTAAATATGATTTATGAAATAAAAATATGAACATATGTAAAATAAAATAAATATAAAAAAATGAATTAATTTCATATTCATTAGGTTGTGTTTTACCTTCTCTATTTGTGATTGGCTGCTGCAGTGGAGGTCAGAGTTCACGGGAACTGTTTCACACACAAACAGACGAGACTCGTTCTCGTCCCAGAACTGAGAAACAGGGCAGCGGGCGGCCAACTCCCCCTCACATCGAGTTCTTAAATTCAAATACAATTTTGATCAAAGAATGTCTATTATCTTTATCTCTGTTCCTGTAAGACCACACCAACACAAACACAGGCACCTTTGACTGTCCTCAGACTGTGCGAGACTGCTCTCTGGCCTCCCTGTGAAGAAGTTGAAGTAAGACAGCGTGTCCAGCTCGATGTCATAGAAATACACTTTGTTATCCGGTCGCCCGTTCACCTACGATGCACAAAAAACATTTATCTGTTATATCTGCTATATATATATATATATATATATATATACACATAACAGATAACAGATTGTTACTGTTTTGTTATATTTTGTGATGCCTTATAATTTTGTTGTTATTTTTCTTCTTTTCAATAAATATTTGTAAAAAAATTTAAAATAAGGGATCCAAATCACAATTTGCAAGTCATAATTGGGTTTTTAATGACCATTTTCCTCCTGCTGCATTCCTGCAGTTCAGTTTTAATATTTCATCTTGGTCGAATAGGAAAGATGCTTTTGCATTATGAACATTACCATGCATCAAACTTATTTCAAAAGAGCAAAGTCCCTTTAAGAACTGTCTTTTTTTTTTTACCTGTGTAATAAGGATGCTCAACTGATTTCCGCTGGCATTGCATTTGACTGATCTCAGAGCGCCCAGGTCAGGAATGAGCTCAGAGAGGTTCTTCATGACACCCATGGCTTTGGCCTCCCTGTGCACACAAACACACATGCATTATACACACATATATACATTTACACACGTTTGAGTAGATTAGTGTGTGTTTACCTGCGTGTGAGGTCAAAGACTCTGACGTGACCCGTATCTGTTCCCACGGCCAGGTAAGATCCACACACACTCAGCAGTGTGGGGTTTCCTTCCGCTTCAGAAAACACCAACAACTGCTTCACAGTGCCCTGGACATTCACACACACAAACATACACTTGTAAAACACAAACTTGGAAATGTCAACAGTCACTGTGTAAAATGTGTATTTTCATGTGTTAAAGAACGTGGATGTGTTTAGAGTTTGTGTATGTGTACCTGCGGCGTGCGGATCTGGACACGGTTTGGTTCGACGGTATAAATGTTTTCTTCATGTACCGCAAGAGCAGGAGACTCACACTGGAAAGAACCTGATGAT